CCGTGACTCCGTACCCTCGCGGCTTCCCCTGTCTCGTTTCTTCTGCGCGGCCCCCGTGGCCGAGCTGTCGCTGAGCCTGGCCCGCACCAAGACCCGCTCGTACGGCAGCACGGCCAGCGTGCGGGCGCCGCTGGGCGCCGGCATCATTGAGCGCCATGTGGAGCACCGGGTCCGCGCTGGAGATACGCTGCAGGGCATCGCGCTCAAGTACGGAGTCACGGTGAGCAAAGCGCGCCTCCGCGGCCCGGGCCTGCGGCCTCCAGGCGGGGTCGGGGACGGGAACGGAGGGTGGGGAACAGGCCGTGCGTCTCCGCGCCGCATCCCGGCGCGCGCTGCTGCAACTGCAATGGGAGTCTAAGCTGCTGCTAACTGCTGCTGCTGCTGCTAGGGGCGGCCGCCTGGGCTTCCCGACCAGCTAGTGCACGGCGTTCCCCGTGCTTTGCCCGTCTCAGATCGTGTCTAGCGTGTGAGAAACACTAAGGAGGTCCGCGTTTTTGTCATCACCCACAGCCACCTTTACCCGTTTTGCTACCCGGAACTCGCTACCTATTTACTCAAAGCCAGACCGATGCGAATTCTGCGCTATGTAAACAAGCTGTGATGAGTCAGGATGTACAGTTTTTCCCAGGGTTGGTTCTGGTTCTATCGATTCTGCTGCTTTATTTAGAAGTGAAATTACACCCCCTGGGCTCACTGGCAACCCTGAACGTGACACCTGTCGCTAAACAGCAGCCAGGAACTGAGGTCTAGGTGAGCTAGAGAGCTGTGTTTTACAAATTTATAAGGGTTTGCGTCTTGGGTATATTGCATTACACCTCAGGGAAGATCATGGAAACCTGAGGGAACAAATTGTTTCATTAAAATTGCTTATAATTAACTGTGAGCTGTGAGCCTTTTTACATTTGAAGCCCAGTATCCGTTTTCAGTGTCCTTCCCTGAAGCTTCGTGGGCAGCAATCGGAAGAAAGATGATCTTATCAGCATCTTCAGCGTAACCTATTTTTGCATATTTAACCAGGTGTTTGTTTACCAGCAAGTTTTTCCATCATTTAAGCGTTCTGAGAGCTTGTTTTCGAGACCCTTCTCGGCAGTTCTAATGTGAACATGTCCGGCTGCCTTCATGCACATCCTCGGGGTCTGGTTTGGGTCAGAGCCAACGAAAAGCAGAACTGAGAAATCTCAGTGGCTGCTCTTCGCTGGGTACCCGCTGTGTGCCAGGCACCACATTTGCCTGTTTTCATTTTTAGGAAAATGACTTTTGATTTTTATGTGTATGAGTGTTTTGCCTGCAAGTATGTATGTGCACCACCTGTGTGCCTGGTGCCCACGGAGGCCAGAAGAGGGTGTCAGATACCCTGGAAATGGAGTTAGAGAGCCTTGTAAGCCATCATGTGTGTGCACTGGGAACTGAACCCTGGTTCTCTGGAAGAGCAGTCTCTCCCATGACAATTTTTCTGTGACCTATGGTCTTCTTGAATTGCTTGCATCTGCTCAACACCTGCTTAATTCAAATGCCTTCTAATCTGTGATTTGTCTAATGTACGTCCTGTTACTTTTAACTTTATCACCCTTTCCCATTAAAGTATAAAGCAGATTTTCATGACTTTTATAAAGACTTCTGATTTTCTAATTTTTAAAATGTTATTTATTTTATGTGCAGTGGTGTTTTGCCTGCGTGTGTGTCTGTGTACCACATGCTTCCTGGTGCCTGTGGAGGCCAGAAGAGGGCCTTGGATTCGTCTGGTACTGGAGTTACAATCTGTTGTTACCTCGTGGGTGCAGGGAATACAAGCCTGGTCCAGGATGGAGCAGCCAGTGTTCCTGACTACTGGTGTCTTTCTACCCCCATCTTCTGATTCTAATGTGTTAGGGTCAGGTATAATAAATTAGGTACTCCACCTATGGTTACAGGAAGTCTATAACTTGATTTCTCAACCTCATCACTATTGTTATTACGTTTTTTATATTAATTTTTATATTAATAAGTTTTTATATTAATTAATTAATTTTCAAGTTAGAATCTCATGTAGCCCAGGCCAATCTCAAACTCCTTATGTAGGTGAGGATGACCTTGAACTCATAGTCTTCCTGCTAGATTACAGGTGTACATCACCATGCTAAACTCTGTTGATACAGTTGGGAAGATTCGTGTTTCAGGAGGCTGTGCTGTGCATTTCAGGATAGTTAGCAGCGCCTCTGTGCTTTACCCACCAGACACAGACCCCCCTACTCTCATCCATACATTGCTAGGTGCTGTCTTAAAGAAAACTCACCTATTTTTTTTTAATTCTTTTTTTTTTCCTTCCTGAGATAGGGTTTCTTTGTGTAGCCCTGACTTTCCTGGAACTTGCTCTGTAGACCAGGCTGGCCTCAAACTCACAGAGATCCCCCTGCCTCTGCCTCCAGAGCACTGGGATTAAAGACGTGCGCCATCACCTGCCTGGCTTTTTTTTAGTCTCTCCTAACTTTGAGCCCTGAATTCAAGCTGATGAAACTGTTTTGGAGATGCTTCTACTGGTTACATAGAACCAGGAAGAGTGTTTATATTTATCTTAAGCTGGGTATATCAGTACACACCCACAAGACCAGTAGACCATGGGGAGGCTGAGGCCAGAAGGTTGCAGGGGTTCCAGGTCAGCCTGGGCTACACATGGAGTACCAAGCACTGCATAATAAGACTACATGAACAACTAAAACCATTAGCCAAACAAACAACAGAACTCTTTCCATAATGGCCAGTGTTTTTTTTTTTTTTTTTAAGATTTATTTATTTATTTATTTTTTATGTATACAGTGTTCTGTCTGCATGTATGCCTGCAGGCCAGAAGATGGCATCGGATCTCATTACAGATGGTTGTGAGTCACCATGTGGTTGCTGGGATTTGAACTCAGGACCTATGGATGAGCAACCAGTACTCTTAAACTCTGAGCCATCTCTCCAGGCCCCAAGTGTTATTCTTATTTAATTTATTTAGTTTTGGTTTTCTGAGACAAGGCTTCTCTGTGTAGTACTTGCTGTCCTGGAACTCACTCTCTAGACCAGGCTGGTCTTGAACTCAGAGATCCCCCTGCCTCTGCCTCCTGAGTGCTGGCATTAAAGGCATATGCCATCACTGCCCAGCTCCTCTAGGTCAATCTTATATGAGACATTTTCTCAATTCCCTTTTCCCAATGACTCTAGCTTATGTCAAGCTGACACAAAATTAACCAACACAGGTAGATTTTGTTTTGAGATAAGGTTTCCCTGTATAATCCCAGTCTGACCTTACATTTGTAATTCTGCCTGAGCCTCTGGAGTGCTGGTCTGTCCACCAGGCCTGACTGTAAAGGATCTTAGACTATCTGGGCCAGGACCAAGGAGAGACCAGATAGGACGAAGGCTTTTGTAGTGATGCAGATGAACCAGAAGAGTAATTTGGAGCAAAGCAGTGAAGGCAGGAGGATGTGGTGAGTGGCTAGGTTCTGGGTGATCTGTTGATAGAGTGTCAAGTGCGTCTAAACTGTAGTACAGGGCCACACACAAACCAGCTATGAATGCGACTTAATGTAAAGTTATTAACTTGTTTAAAACATTATGAATTTATTTTTTGGAAACTTGATTGCATGGTTCTTGAGTATGAACTTCTGTTGATGCAGAATCAGTCATAATGTCAAAGAAATGGACCTGTTTGCATATCTTCTTATTTGTTTACTGTTTCTCTTGAGTATACCTAGACATTTGCCTGGAGACCCAGGAGGCCTCTCTATAAGAAAGGAGAATCCTGTTCAAGAATTGAGCCAGGTGAATTAGGCTCAGTTCTTCCTCCAGTGAGTTAGAAAATACAACGTTTCTTCACGGAGTCACTAACCCATACTCGTTATTTCTTCCTTTCCTTGTATTGAATCTGGGTTATTTGAGGCCCATGTTAGACGCCAGGGCTACATGATCAAATGATCTCTCTGGCACTTGATGGGTCCTCCACATGCATGCACCCAATCCTCAGAAAGTTGGACTGGGATGAGATGGTAGCCCCAGGAGCTAAGCAGGCTCTGGAGGGTAGGATCCTGGGTTGGGACTACGAGAGGACAACAGCCTGCTGAAGATGTGAGCTACAAGAATGGATTAAAGTGGGGCTGGACAGATGACCCGGTGGTTGAGAACTCTTGTTCTTGCAGAGGCCCTGTGCTTGGTCTCAGTGCCCAGATGATGATTCACAACCATCTCTATCTAGTTCTAGGGGATCTGACACCTTCTTCTGACCTCCCTGGGCACCAGGCATGTACATGGCACGCACACACACACACACACACACACACACACAGAGAGAGAGAGAGAGAGAGAGAGAGAGAGAGAGAGAGAGGCAATACACATAAAATAAATACTTACAAAAACTTTTTAAAAATGACATTTACTCCTTTGGGTAGGGGAGAGGTATGACATGCACCTTGGTGTGAGAGAGCAGTCAGAGTTCAGTTTACAGGAGTCAGTTCTCTCTTTCCATCATGTGGGTCCCGGAGATCCATTTCAGGTTGTCTTACTTTGTGGCAAGGGCCTTTAATGACTGAGCCATCTTGTAGGCCCTCCTTTATTGCTTCTTTTGAGACAGGACTTCAGGTAGACTAAGCTATCCTTGAAACCACTCTATAGCCCACACTGGCTTTGAACTCCTGATCCCCCTGCCTCCATTTCAGAGCTTGGGGTTATTAGCCATCCCACAAGAAGGAGCAGTTCTGTCTCCTTGCTGTTGTTGCTGGTGTGTGCTCTCCCCCTCCTCCAGTAGTGAGTTCAACACTCAGGTACACACAAGTTGGACATCTCTACTGGAGTCTGAGGAAGTCGCTCTGGGAAACTGAAACCGTTTCGGGTCTGGTTGAGGAAACCATTAACTGCTGTTCAAACCTCAGACATCAGCTTGCTTGGGCTGGAATGTCCCTGGCTGTGTTTGTATACTTAAGACATTCAGGCCCCTTGGCTCCGGTTCTTGATTGAGCTATTGTTTTTTTTTTTTTTTTTTCTTCCAGCATCCTGGCCCCTCCCTGTTGTAGCTAAGCCTCTGGGGGAAGCTGGTCAGAGCTCTAAGTTATCACTTAGAATATTTTTATTTAGAAATGTTAGAAAAACTAGAGGACAGCGTAGAAACAACGCATAGGAATGGAGGCAGCAAAGGAGCTCTGTTCCCACGTCTCCCAGAACTCACTCTGTAACAGGGAAAGGCTTAAACTGAGCTTCCTCCTTCTACCACCTGAGTGCCGCTCTGCCTACCTTCAGCCAGATTTAGCCCCAGGTTATCTTGTCCATTTAGGTGCTAAGCTGAGTTGCTCCGCACTTCCCCACATAAAAGTTACTTTGCTGGGAGAACGTGTGTGATCTTCCTGTTCTGGAGGGCAAGGCCTGGGCTTAGCCGTGCGGTGGAGGTTGTTGACTGTCACAGCGCCGCCTGGAGAGAAAGGGATGGCAAGGTAATGTGTAACTGGGGGCTTTAATAGTTTTTCGTGTATTTCCCCCCTCAGACGTTGTCTGACCACACAATTCACCCTGCCGTACGTGTACAATTCAGTGATGTTTAGGAAGTTTACAATTGTGAAGTCGTTGTCACCGTTCAATTTCAGAAAGTCCCCCCACCCCAAAGATAGCTCTAGAGCTGTTTCGCCTACTCACTATTCTCCGGTTCTAGGAGATGGATAATATGAAATGAGATGAAATGTACAACCTGGCAATGCTGACACATGCATAGACAGCCTGTAAATGGTGGTTCTGTTGAATATGTCCAC